TGTGACCGTTTATCTTCCTATATACATAAAAGATGTAGGATGTTGTCACGCTCTGCAGCCACAGCAACTGCACTGTGGGGAAGAGCTGGCTGGTCCAGGCAAGCTGTTTAATGGAGGTGTCTCTCCCCCTTTGGCAAATGTGCCTGCAGAGAGGTTTAACAAAGGGGAGAGAGGCTTTGCAAAGGGTCTCCCGCTGCCTTTAAAAGGGGAGGGGCTCGGAGAAGGAGGGGCTTGAGGAAGAGGGGAGGGACTTGGTGTGAGTTGTGGGAGATTGGCAAGGAGGGTGGGGCAAAGCGAGGGGGGTTGATCAGGAGTGGGGGGGAGGGGAAAGGGTAGGCGGGGTTGGGGTGCAATTTTATTTCTCCGGTTTGTTGGCATTTTTGTGCTCCATGACACTTACGAGCTACATTGGTGCAGTTTGCGCATATTTTGCACCATTTGTTTGCTGAACGGGGTATGGCACTGCTTTAAATGTACGGTTCAGACGGGGCCAAAAGGAGTCAATTGGGATGGAGCGGCAATCTGGGAATCTGGGAATATAAGGACAGGTGCCAGAATACTACACTTTTCACTCCCAACTGAGCCCAGGGATCAGAAGTCTGGCTGGTGACAAAAAGGTACTTTCAGATCCTAGGACAGGTGAACGGAAGGAAAAAGGATAACTTTCTGCAAGACAGTTTTGACGCAATGCCTGTCAGGTCCCAACCTACAATTCTCCAAGCATCTTCAGTCAGGGCTGGTAAAAGCTACAGACTGAAGCTTTGGTGAACCAATGAGGTCAGCGTAGACCAGAGCAAGTCAACATGGCGCTGCTTCCATAAGTTGTTGGACTCCAACGCCCATCAGCCCCGGTCAGCATGGCCAATGGTCAGGGAGGATGGGCGTTTACAGTGGTACCTTGGGTTAAGAACTTAATTCGTTCTGGAGGTCCGTTCTTAACCTGGAACTGTTCTTAACCTGAAGCACCACTTTAACTAATTTCTGTTCTCGTCCTGAGGTAAAGTTCTTAACCCGAGGTACTATTTTGGGTTAGCGGAGTCTGTAACTTGAAGCGTCTGTAACCTGAAGCACCTGGTAACCTGATAAAACACACATTTTTATTTTATTTTAAAAAATTTAGTGTCTTTCAGGTGCAGCTCCCAGCTTATATATTTGATTCCACCATGGGTAGGATCACGCAGAGATTGCTTTTGTGCAGTTTTTAAAACAAGCACACATTGGAAATGTGGGTGGCAGACATGGTGGAGAGAGATGTCTGGAAAAAATGGAAAGGTTCAATTCTGCTTCAATTCTGCCTGGTTCAGTTCTTGGCACCTCCAACAAAGTTTGGGAATGTTTCCTTTCTGAATCCCAGGAAAGCTGCTGCCAACCAATGTGGGCAGTACTGAGCAATATAGACTCATGGTCTAGTTTGATGCAAGACTGCCTCCTATGTTCTTGGCTGCTCTAGAGTTGGATAAGAAGCATTTTTAACAAGATAAAGGCATGCCCTGAATTAATTCCCGCCAGTCTAAGAGGACTGGCGGCCGGGAGGCAGCTGATTACCTTTCTCTGGCAGATCAGCCTGTTTAATGCAATTAAGCGCTGGAACAATTCTAGCCATGCGCTCTTGCTCGCTTGCTGATATGTCGCAATTGGCCTTGCAAGAAGGGGAGAGCCCAGCTTGTTCAAACAGCCCTGTCTACAGAGCTGCTGGTGCAAGATTAATGCCGAAACACAAACCCCACAGCAGCCATCACTGGGGGAAACTGTTCTAAAATTAAGGGGGAAAATATGCATTCTAATATTTGGAAGGAAACTGGAGTCAGGGAATCTTCCCCATGCCCCCCCCAAAAAAAATTGACAAAAGGCTCAAGAAAGTGGAGTCATTCTATAGGCTTAGGCTGAGCGCACACCATATATTTAAAGCACCTAGAAAAAGCAGCACCCAGGAAACTGTAGTTTGTTAAGGGTGCTGGGAGTTATAGCTCTTTGGGGGTAAGCTACAGCTCCCAGAATCTGGAGTGTGTGCGCTTTAAAAGTATGATATGTATACAGCCTTAGATAGCATTAATAGGGGATATAACAGTTTTATGGTGGACAGAGATCTACCAACAGTCCAAAACATTCATATTAATATATGAGCTGCTCGTTTTCTCTTCCTTTATTGTGCTGTTGCTCTAATAAGAAACTGTTTTGTTATGAAAAACTGTATTCCATTGCTCATTTCTTTTTATAATAATAAGATGTTTTATAACCGTTTTCATTTCATCAGTAAAAGAAGTTACACACAAGTATTTAAAATATTAAAAAATAATTACAAATGAACCATATGCTAAAATACATGTCCACATTTTACATGTCAGGGATGGGCTTGCCTAAACAAACATTTATTTATTTATTTATTTATTTATTTATTTATTTATTTATTTATTATTATTATATTATTATTATTATTTATTATTGCCCTGCCCTTCTGGCTGGGTTTCCCCAGCCACTCCTGGTGGCTTCCAGCAAAATATTAAAATACAATAATTCATCACATATTAAACGCTTCCCTAAACAGGGCTGCCTTCAGATGTCTTCTAAAAATCAGATAGTTGTTTATTTTTGCAGGCACCAAAAAGAAAATAAAAAAAGGAAAAGTAGTGAAGGCACCTGCCTGGTGTCAACCAGCAGGGAGTTCCAAAGTCTACCTGTGCTGCCACACTAAATATTGCTTTCTCAGAAGTGCAGGTGTTTTATGTGGAACCAGTAACTGTGCCAGTTTTCTCAAATCAAAGCAGTTGAGTTGGGAATACATGGGAGAAGGCAGTCTCTCAAGTAAACAGATCCCAAACTGTGAAGAGTTCTGTAGTCCATCATAAGATGAGTGGGATCAGACCAAAGGCTCACCTAGCCCTTGAAACATGGCTTTAGAAAAAATAAAGAATAAACCAAAACAGGAATTTGTTTCAAAATGGGAGGTCTTTAAAGTTTATCTGAAATATTATTATAGCAGTTTAAATTCTGTTGCAGCATTTGAAGAATTTCACAGTAATAGTTTCAAGTTAGACATGAGACTTAAGACATATTTAGAATTAGTTAAATTATTACTGTATAAAAGTGTGTATGGGCAACAAGTAATACATAAATGAAATAAGGAATAGACAGGAGGTCGGGTCTATAGTTCTGAGACCAATTTTCACTTTATTATTTTGTTAAGAAAGTTTTGTGTTATTTTTGTTTGTATTTTTGCTTTCCTTCCTTTTTTCAGTTGTATCGATAAAAAATCAAGTTTAAAAAGAAACAAACATGGCTTTAGGAATTATTTTTTTAAAACAAAAACTTTTTTTGTTAAGCACCTATCATTATCCTCAAGCACCAGCACCAACAAATAGTCATTTAAACCACCAATCAGGAAGAAGACCCTCCATAAGCAGTGTTGTCGGGCAGAGACGGAAAAGACAAGTCTTTGGAAACAGCCAGATTTTTAGGTGTCAAAACAAAAGCACCAGGCATTGCATTAAAAGTCCAGGGAACATTAGGTGCTTTTCATTGGACATGCATCAATATTATTTGCACCTGCAAAAGTTTTGGGGCTGTTGCACATACTTCCATTCCAACCAGGGCATATTCTAGAAGAGGGGTCAGCAAACTTTTTCAGCAGGGGGCTGGTCCACTGTCCCGCAGACCTGGTGGGGGGCCAGACTATTTTTTTTTTTTGGGGGGGGAGAACGAATTCCTATGCCCCACAAATAACCCAGAGATGCATTTTAAAGAAAAGAACGCATTCTACTCATGTAAAAACACCAGGCAGGCCCCACAAATAACCCAGAGATGCATTTTAAATAAAAGAACGCATTCTACTCATGTAAAAACACGCTGATTCCTGGACCGTCCGGGGGCCGAATTGAGAAGGCTTAGTTTGCCTACCCATGTCCTAGAACTTCCTGGTGAAATCCTATAGCTTTTCACACCACAAATGTTCTAGGGGAGAGTGGGGGGTCCACTCTTTTGCTGTGCCACTCCAGAAACCGACAATATGTTAGCCACAGGGAACAACTACAGTGGTACCTCGGGCTAAGTACTTAATACGTTCCAGAGGTCCGTACTTAACCTGAAACTGTTCTTAACCTGAAGCACCACTTTAGCTAACGGGGCCTCCTGCTGCTACTGCGCCCTGGAGCACGATTTCTGTTCTCATCCTGAAGCAAAGTTCTTAACCCAAGGTTATAATTCTGGGTTAGCAGTCTGTAAACTGAAGCGTATGTAACCTGAAGCGTATGTAACCCGAGGTACCACTGTACAATAATAAATTAGAATTAAATCCACTGTTGATGCGCTGTTATGTCATCTAGAACGCTTTGCAGAAGGAACACCATTGCAGAAGGGCCCCATTAACTATTTCCCTTGAAAGGCGGCTACTCCCATAGCTCAAGAGGCAAAGCAAACCCCAGGGACTAGGAACTTGAGCATCCAGCCAACTAGTCAACAACAGAGAGGCTCGCGCGGGGCGCAGCCCATTCCCATCCGCCAATCAGCTCTGAACAGCAGCCGAGAAGGGGCGGGGTCGCGAATGGCTTGTTGCTTCATGTACTACCGGTTGCAAAAAAAGAGAGGAAAGGCGGCGGCTGGAGGGGGGAGATAATAGACGCACAAACACACACACACACACCTCGCAAAGCGGCACCATCTGATCTTTGCAGGATTCTTTCCACCAGCCCAGACTTGCTCTCGCAATTGAGAACTTGGCCCCATCAAGAAGCAGGGATCCCTCCCCAAACGAGGAGATCGTAACAAAACCCGCTTTTGAAAGGAGGAAGTTTTGAGTTGCAAACTTTTCCCAGAGGGGGGGGGCGCAGTAGGGGGGGCAAGAGCAGTTCAAGGCGATTTTTTTTTGCGGCACGTTTAAAAAACAACATTGAATGCAGCAAGCTTTGTGAGCCGATCCACTTTAGAACAGATCCACTCCCCCCCCCCGCCCCGTCCAACAAAGTCACAATATAAAAAGGTTTCTGCAGCCACTCCGGTTTGTTTACCTGCTAAGATGGCTTTGCCCGGATGGGTAAGTTTGGTTTTGCCCGCCGGAGCCGCTGCAGCCAGGCAGCGAGGTCTGGCGAATGGGCTGGCGAAGGGCGTCGAGGATGGAGACATGATGGTTGCAGGATCCGACCCACCGACAGACGGGACAGTTTTGCAAAAGCAGCAGAACTGGCAGGGGGGGGGCGAGTTGATCCAAGTGCAAAGGAAGCAGAAGCTGGAGGAGATTGCCAGATCGCTGCTGCTGCCGCCGCCGGATCCCCTAGCCAGGGCTTCTTCTATATACTGCCGGGAGCCGATCCGATCCAGCCAGCCAAGGCGGGCGCCGCCGCCCCCTTTTCCCGCGAGCGGAGGTGGGGCAGCCCCTCGCCACGCAGCCAGCGTCACGGGCTCGCCATTGGCTTGAATGGTTGAAGGAGGGACGGGCGGAAAAGAAAAGGAGGTGGAGGAGGAGGCAGCTGTCAGGATTGGGGCAGCCTTGCTTTTGCTTTCCCCAAGATCGCACAGTGGGACTGTGGGACCACGCGGGATCTAGCGCAACCCCCCCTCCGAATGCAGGAATTTCCCCCGCAGCCCGGGATTCGAACCCAGGACTCTGCGATTAAGATTCTCACGCTGTGCTGCTGAGTGAGCTACCCAGGGAGTGCTTCTCGGGAGTAGTGGGGTGTCCGGTTTGCTAGGGTGTTTGGGGTTTTTTTTAGCAAAGAGAAGCATGGTGTTAGCGGAGGCAGCGTTGCACAGTTCCTGCTTCGGAGCAGCTGCTTGGCTTGCAGAAGGGCCCGGCTTCAATGCGCGACATCTCCAGGGGCTCCCTGTTTGTAAACCCTGTGGAGCTGCTGCCAGTCCGTGTAGACAACACGGAGCTAGGCAGAGCGGTAGGTCTGACTTAGGAACACAGGGAAGGGCCTTTATCGCGAAGTCTGCTGCTGCTGCTGGAGCTTTAAGAACCTGCCAATTATTTAAGGTGGCGCTGCGATTTCTGCAGGGTGAGCGGAAACTACGGAGAAAGTTAAAAATCAGACTCGCTTTTATTTATGAATTAAATTTAACACTTCCATTCTCCGGGTGGTACTTGTGGTCAGACTCATTCCCTGCCTTCCACGTGCGCCCCACCCCGTGCTGGACCCTGTATTTATTAAATGTTCCGCGGCGAAATTCAACCACTGGTTGAGACAATAAGGCAGAATAAGCTTAGGCACCTTCTTCGGGATGTTTCTCTTTAATGGGGTTTGCCAGTAAAACGTTCTTCAGTAACTTTGCATTGTCAGTTTCCCAGAACGCTCAGTTAGCCTTAATGAAGTACAGTGTTCAGGGAAGTTTTTAATGTATTTTTAATCTTTGTTGGAAGCCACCCAGAGTGGCTGGGGAAACTCAGCCAGATGGGCGGGGTACAAAAAATAAATTATTATTAATTATTATTATTATTTCTCCTCCTCCTCTGTTGGGCCAATTAAATACCCATTAATTCCACTCCACTCTCTCAGATTTCCTACTTCTGCACTTAAGAAGGCATTCATTTTATAGGGAAGACCCACAGCTCAGTGATAGCGATGGGCTTTCCTGGAATCTCTCATTAGGGTCAGAGGGATAAAGGCTTTCCCCCAAACCTACTAAGACTGCAGAAAGTAAGGGCAGGTCAGGATAGGAGGTTTGGGCTACATCAGGGAGTTAAGATGCAATCCAACATGATCTGGAAGGTACAAGCTTCCATCTCTGGCGCCACCTACTGGTAGCCTCGGGACGCGGGTGGTGCTGTGGGTAAAAGCCTCAGCGCCTAGGGCTTGCCGATCAAAAGGTCAGCGGTTCGAATCCCCGTGGCGGGGTGCGCTCCCGCTGCTCGGTCCCAGCGCCTGCCAACCTAGCAGTTCGAAAGCACCCCCGGGTGCAAGTAGATAAATAGGGACCGCTTACTAGCGGGAAGGTAAACAGCGTTTCCGTGTGCGGCTCTGGCTCGCCAGAGCAGCAATGTCACGCTGGCCACGTGACCCGGAAGTGTCTCCGGACAGCACTGGCCCCCGGCCTCTTGAGTGAGATGGGCACACAACCCTAGAGTCTGTCAAGACTGGCCCGTACGGGCAGGGGTACCTTTACCTTTACCTTACTGGTAGCCTCCTTGCCTTCAGCCCTACCAGTAATGGGCAACTGCCACCACAGACCACTTCTTCAATAGTAGGGTCTGTTCAGCACCCCGGTGTTCAAAGAACACAATGAGGTTAAAGGGGCACTGGATGAATTTTGATTACAAGTGCCTATTAAATTTATGCTGGCTCACAGCATTTCAATTAAGGTATGCTCCTTCATGAGACGGGAAACTCACAATTAACAACTCTAGAACCGTGTGGTGTTGCAGCTCTCCTAAAAAAAAAGGAAGCTTAATTCTTTTATTTCAATTTATTAAAACTTGTGGGAATGACGGTATTTCTAAAACAAGCGTTTTCTTTGGTACGATGAACACACATGCCAAGACAGGCAGAGAGAGAGGTTAAATGGCTCACTGGCTATGGTGCTTGCGTTCTGCAGTTTCTAAAAGGACCTGTAATTATGGTGCTGGAGGAGACTCTTGAGAGTCCCATGGACTGCAAGATCAAACCTATTCATTCTGAAGGAACTCAGCCCTGAGTGCTCACTGGAAGGACAGATCCTGAAGCTGAGGCTCCAGTACTTTGGCCACCTCATGAGAAGAGAAGACTCCCTGGAAAAGACCCTGATGTTGGGAAAGATGGAGGGCACAAGGAGAAGGGGACGACAGAGGACGAGATGGTTGGACAGTGTTCTCGAAGCTACCAGCTTGAGTTTGACCAAACTGCGGGAGGCATTGGAAGACAGAAGTGCCTGGCGTGCTCTGGTCCATGGGGTCACGAAGAGTTGGAGACGACTAAACGACTAAACAACAACAATTATTGTACTTGTTTTAGTTCTGCTATACAATCATGGCACTTTGGTTCCTAACGCGGACACCAATTAAAATGCAGCCTTACAGTTTAGGGAAATGAACCTCAGATGTGCTGTGCCCATGCAAGGATAAACCCACCACTAATTCCCATCTTGGCAGGTGCAAGGAACTTGAAGCATCATTGCGGTCCCTTCTATTAACCTCTCGACAGTGAACCCCTCCTCCTTCCCATCAACCCTAATCTCTTTTATCTGCTGCTTTGGCAACTGCTGGCACAGTAGTGCATTGCACAACCATCTCAAGTCCTATACAGTCGTACCTTGGAAGTCGAACGGAATCCGTTCTGGAAGTCCATTTGACTCCCAAAAGATTCGGAAACCAAAGCACAGCTTCTGTTTGGCTGCAGGAAGCTCCTGCGGCCAATCAATCAAAAGCCACGGAAGCCCCGTCGGACGTTCGGCTTCCAAAATACGTTCAAAAACCGGAACACTCACTCCCGGGTTTGTGGCATTCAGGAGCCAAAACGTCCAAGTTCCAAGGGGTTCAGGATCCAAGGTACTATTGTAATGGGCCGGAGAGACCCTGTTGCTGATGTCACTGCTGTCTGGTTAGCACTGACCTGTGACAGGCCTCTTCAGCCGCAGTTCATCATTTCTGTATGGCCTTTCCTGGTGAGGTGGTCTTGGTCCCATCCCCTTTTAAGAGACAGGAGGAATTTAAAAACATTCAACATTCCTGTTCAGCTGAACAACTGATATCTGAAACTGTTCTCAGCCACCTTGAAATTATTATTTTGTGAATATATGAACATTTACAAATGTTTTCAGATATTAATGCTTTTATTTATTTTGGTTTTGCTGCTTTTTTGTTTGCCAGCCTGGGCTCCTTGGGGAGGAAAAGTCAGGACCAAAAGTTTAGTGACAACCAGTATGAAAATCCTACTGTGAGTGGCTATGTACGTACAAGTCTCTTAAAAATAAATAAATCAGTTTTTCACTGGGGGATTTGTGTTTGGGTGTGTGTGTGTGTGTGTGTGTGTGTTATCTATCATTTCCCTTTAACACTTTTTAGTTCAATTGCTTTTTGCTTATTGTAAGCTCCACAAAAATCTCGTGCTAAGGGCCAGCATACACGTCATAAATAAGTTTCATTAAAGACAAAGCAAAACCCACGCCTTTGAACTTAGGAATCCTGTACACAGGACTATTGAATGCCTGCCTGCGGAAAGTTATTTGCCATTTTATTCAGTTTAGCAAGGTTTTAAAAAGGAAGAACGAACCGAGGCGTCATAGGAAAAGGGAAATCACATGTGGCTGGTGAGCCTTTTAACCATACAGAAACTTCAAGCATTCAGCAGAGCTTAGTGTTATGAGCTTTCAAGGAACTCTTGCTTATTATGGTAGAATAGGACCTCGCAAGAGACCAAGATACTTTCAAGGGCAGCAAATGCCAACTGTTTTTGTGCTGTCCTAGACTCAGCCAGTATCTTTGCCACCACATACAAGGGAATAATATTTGGTAAAGGTAAGGCTTGTCTTTGGACTCCAAACTGCATCAGAATTGAAACCCCTGTGCTTCATGGTTCCCAAATACGAATCAATGGGAAGTTTGGTTTTGACCTTAGGTGACATATTCTCTTTCGTGGGAGCAGGGAGAGCATTAAGAAAGCTACAGCGGGGAAAACAAGCACACTGAACAGTAAACACATCACTGCAAATTGAAGGCAGTTGCTAGATTTGATAGTAGGGCCGGGCGATACCTGGTTTTCAACATTGTGACGTATCAGCAGCTAAATATCGTTATATGCTGATATACCAGAGTGTCTGGAATGTATCTTGGCTGCGTCACCAGCCCTACTGAGGAAGCCCCCATACCGCTCAGGCTCATGTGAGCCAGAGGGGCTCCTTCTGCCCCCCAAGCTGAGTGAGCCCCCATACCGTTCTGGCTTGCATGAGCTTCAGGGGCAGGGGGCTTCCTCAAAGGCACAGGCAGGCAGGACGACACAGCCTGAAAAGGTGCCCGCTGAGAATCTTCTCAGGTCGTCCGTCTGCCTGCAGGCAATTTGAGCCGGAGCAATGTACTGCCAGCTCAAATTGTCTGAAACTGGTATCGCGATCCGACGCCATACTGGTTTCAGACAATTTAGCAATATGCCGCCCAGCTCTGACACTCATTGGTTTACTAGCACAGCGTTTGGGGCACACGCCACTTTCCACGATTGCACAAAAGCCGTTGCACTTCCACAGCTATGGGAGCCAAAGCTCAGCTGACTCCGGTTTTGACTTGGAAACAGCCCCTCTGGTTTAGTCCTAAGAACACGGCCAAGGAAAAGAATTGTGGGCATTTACATGGTTGCTACAAGCACCTCCTTAGGCTGACACAGAACCTCCCCTCCAGCCCCCTTGTTTCCAACCACACAGTGGACACTGGTTTGATTTATGTTTATAATTGGATTTTCATAATATCCATGATTAGCACAAGAGTCATAGCCATAAATTATACATTATCTAGTTTTAAGTACATAAAATGTTAATGATATATGTCTCTGAAGAGTGGCACAAAGTAGTAACATCCCTGTTGGCATTCTCTATTGGGAAGAAGAAGAAAAGCGAGAGTGCGTTTGGTGGGCAGACCATCTGATCTCACAGAATTCCTGCACAGAGCCAGAAGAGGAGTGGATGGGAATTGGAGCTGTTGCCGGCTCAGAAAGGTATCTCCAAATGCCCAGAGGGTTTTACAGCAGGAATTGGGAACTTGGGAGACCTCCAGATGTTGTGGACTCTCCAGCTCATCTCAGCCAGCATGGTGTGTGGTCAGGGATGATAGGAGGAGCAGCCTGGGCCTGCTTTAGAGTTTCAGCTCAAATACAGCCAGCATAGCAGAAGACTCGCTTTCAAGGTGAGACTTGAAGTCACACAAGGAGGTGCTTCCAAACTCATTTCTTACCATAGCTGTCAACTTTTCCCTTTTATTGCGAGGAATCCTATTCGGAATAGGAGAATTTCCCTTTAAAAAGGGAAAAGTTGACAGCTATGTTTCTTACCAACACGGTCCTCTCTGCCGCACACATTTACAATACTTATGGCTGCCCAGGCAACACACTCTTTGACATTTTGCTTGTCAAAAAAAAAAAAAAAAAAAGTCACATAGCCAAGTTATGTTGTTGAAAATGTGTACCATTTGATGCCAATGAGTATCATGCTATTACGTACTACAGGAAAAGAAAATATGGGGAGTGTCTGCTCTGAGATATGATCCAATTTATTCTCCAAGGAAGGTTTTTTTTTAAAAAAAAGAAAAGAAAAACACAAAAAAAATCCAGAAGGCATAGATGCTTTTTTTTTCTTTTCAACATTCTGTAAACTGTGTCACCTCTCCCCCGTCGCCTCCAAATACACTTTTTATTTCCTTTTTTTTCCTGCACAGCGCTACAAACAAATGGGGAGAAGGTGTGTGTTACATACAATTTTCATATATCCCACCAGTTGGAAGGTTCTGCTGCTTCATCTGTTACAGTACTTTTTAACACGTTAACAGCTTGGTGCCAGAGGACGCCCCGGCATGCACGTGGCTAGAGAGAGGACTCTGGAAAGGGGAGAGAGGGAAAAAGCAGCACTAAAACGCCCAAAACCACCACCAGAAATCCTCCTAGCCCCCAGAAGTTATTGCTGGGTTGTTGGTTTTAGTTGGAGCGTTGCCTCCGCTTCAGACAGAGCCTTGAAATGTCGCTAACGGACAACAAGATAAAAGGAGAGGGGGGAGAGCTGCCTTTTGAGGTTGAAATGTAACAGGACATAGCAATAAATAACACAGTGTCCTTTGGGTGTCTCTGAACCGGGGGGGGGGGGTAGGGGTGGGCTGAAAAGGGCATTCAAGCCAACGCAGGGAGTCATCTGTGCCTTCTTGGAGAAAAAGTAAAAAAAAAAGAGGGACGGGAAGATGATGATCCAAGACGGTTAAAGGTCTCGCAGCGCGAGTTACATATTGAAACCGTAAACTGGTGGCTGGGTGAATCCTGGCGCCGTGTAGCCATAGGGGAAGTTTGCCTGTGGAGGTACTGCGTTTGGGCCTGCCGTTAGCATCAGCTGCTGGCCTGGAAGAAAGACAAGGGGGGGTCCGTTTAAGTCACTTGGAAGGTAAGGCCTTTTGCATACCCCAGCCCACAGAACCCAACAAATCCCAGTTCAAAATGCAGGGGTGTGTTTGTCTGTTTTTAAAAAAGACTGAAACAGAAAAAGCAAAAGGTACATTTCCAGCTCTAACGTCACACGAAGCTGCCTTATACTATGTTAGACTATTTGCCCATCTTTATTTCTCTGTAAATATATTTTTTATTAAATTCAGATACTGACCTTCACCAGCGGATCACAGCGTGGTTTACAGGATTTAAAAAACAACAGCTGTAAATACTGTCTAATCTAATTGGAAGTAGCTCCAAGATCTCAGGTGAGGAGTCTTTCTCCAGAACTGACTCCTAAGCTGGCAAAGTCAAAAGGACTGAACCTGGAGTCTCTCCTGTGTGGTGTTGAGAACCAGCGTGGTGCAATTGCTCGGATCCCGGACTATGATTGTGGAAGATGCAGGTTCGAATCCTCCCCCCCACTCAGACATGAAACTGAGCGACCTGAGAAAACCTCCGCCTCCGATTTACTTTACAAGGATCAGAATGGGGAGGACAGGAAGCTCCTTGGGAGAGGTAACAAATGTAATTGGTGGGTTTTACTCAGAGGAGACCCAGTTAATGAACATGGCTTATGTTAGGGCTGGTAATTTCAATAGGTCTGCGTTGTTGAATGCCCCCCAATGGTTCTACTGATGAACTAAGGCCCTTCCAGATTTAAAAGAAGGGCAGACTTACAAGGGACAGTTCTCGAAATTCCAGTGTAGCCGCATGTTTGAGCCGCCTGCCCCCTTTTCATGACTGGGAAACAGCCAAGACTTCCTGAGAAATCCTTGAATGAACAACTCCCATATGATATAAAAATAGCTCAGGGGTTCTGGTTTTTTTTTAAATAGTAAATGCCTCCCTGCTCCTTCCCTGCGGTGAAGTAGTGACTGAGTCAGGATTTTGTTTCAATTGTCTGGCACCTATTAGGTCCTGAAAAAACTACATTCAGAGAATCTTTCAAAGTTCAAACAAAAACCCCATACGATATACATTTGTACAGCCGAGAGTTTTAAACACGTTGCAGTTAGATTCTGTTAGTCGTATTTCCCCAGCCTATGCTTATTAATTCTGCCACAGACCAGACACACATTTGTTAAAACTCTACTAAAAAACTACGCATGCCTCATGCATGGGAAAACTGAACTCCCATTGAAAACCATTCCCAGTAGAGAACTGACCTCGTCATCATGAACTTCCTTTAATGGAGGGACCTAGAATGCAATTGTCAATAAAGTCTACCTTTTGCCAAAATAAAGACTTTTTACACATTTCTGGAATAGAAGCACCATTTTCTCCCTTAATGGGATTCTGTTTTTCCAGAAGATTTAATCTCAGAGAGTCTTGCCACCCACAGAAAGGAAGGTTCCCCCCTACCATAGTTGACGTACTAAGAACACCCTTGCCCATCTGGAGATACTGCACTTCTTGAAATGGCAAAACATTTTAACTAGAGAGGGTGTTTTCTACTGGAAAAAAAGGCCGAGAGCCAAATGTAGTGTAATATTCCATATCTATGGGACTTCGTTTGTACACCCGCACCCTTTTCTACAACCATGCAATTTCTTCCAAGTTTTCAGGAGCAGGATCTGCCTAGTTCAGCCTCCACTCATGGATCATATAAATGAGAAATGATTTTAAAAGCATAGCTGTTCTATCCCAACACTGGTTCATAGTGTGTGTGTGTGTGTGTGTGTGTGTGTGTGTGTGTGTGTGTGTGTCCAATAAACCTCTTTGAAAAGCATCCAGGATCTGTAAAGGCTGCAATCCTAGAGAGAATTGCTAGGAAGTAAGCCCTCTTTAAGTCAGTTTACTTTTGTAAACAATTTGTGCTGAATGGCTGCTTCCAGGACAGCTAGAGAAAACCTAACATAAACTAGATTTCTTCTTAAACACCGTTATCTTGAATTATATTGTGATGACAACATGGCAGTCACTGGCAGCAACAGATTTTTAGTTAGATCCTATGAAGAAATCTCAAGTTCTTCTAGTTCAGCATTGACACACGGAGGGTTTGTTAAGTACAAATACTTGGGATTTCTGGAAACGCTTCTCAGTTGAGGGCCTAACAAAAAGAAAGCAAGTCTTCACCTACCAAATACTATTGGAGTGGGTTCAGTTACTTGTTCCTCTTCTTTCCTTAGGCTTTCAGAAGCATCAAGTTTATCCACCTAAGTTGTAAAGTGAAAGGAAACTCTCATGAAGGAACTTCTTAGCGCCCGAGTTCTGCAACCCCCCTCCCAAGTGTTTCCGTTCCAGCTTTCATTTAAAGATATTTATGTCTCAACGTGTCAGCGGATCTAGCACAACTTCCTACTTTCAGAAATAAGTCCAGTTTCAGCATTTGCTCAACTGCCAGAGATCAGCTCTTTAATAGGATGGCCCGTGGCACAAGCAAAAATGCATGGTCAAGTTCGCAGAACAATTAAGTCGCAGGGAGCTTCGGACTAGATTCACTTTTCAAAACACCCGTTACCTGCAAGAGCCAGTTCCCACATTCCATCAAGCAACAGAACCCAGAGCTAACCCAATGAGCCCGTAACTTATTTCAATGGTCCCTTAGGACAAATTGGCAAAGCACTGAAAAAATAAAAAATCTGGACAGCTATAGGGAGGTGAAACGTGTTTCTTGTACTGGGCATGAAGTTCACCAGGGGCAAGCTTAATCCTCACACCAATAGTGTCTCTGAGTGCATGTTGTTACTTCCTCCCACCCATAAGTCAATGGCTATGGCATTCATTCCTGCTTTCCCCCAAAATGTGCTTTACTGGGATAGGGGCAACAGTGTACCACTAGCACTGGGTGACCTAGCCATCAGACATGGAGTGATAAAGATAGAGAGACGTAGGCAGCACACTTGATGCATTGTTAAGCTTCTCCTCTTCCCCAAACCAGCTTTTTATTATTTGGAGTGGGCAGGGGGAGCAAAGAGCAGCACGGTCCCCTTCTCTGCCTGCATTCTGAACAGAGTTCCCAGTTGGTCAAGGGGAAACGTGATACTTCAAAGGCTTCTTTGGCTTATGCAAACAGGAGGCAAGGCCAGACGTGACAAGCAAGTCCTCACCCCATGTTGTGTAGATGAGGACCTGGACATCTCTACTCATTGGAAGAAAGTGTCCCTTACCTATAGAATCTGATGGGCATTTTACGGACATTGCGGTCTGGTTTTACTATCAACATACAGTTGATAGTACAGTTACCCCAACATACAGTTACCCCAAAGAAGGTAAAGGTAAAGGGACCCCTGACCATTAGGTCCAGTCGTGGCCAACTCTGGGGTTGCTGTGCTCATCTTGCTTTACTGGCCAAGGGAGCCGGTGTACAGCTTCCAGGTCATGTGGCCAGCGTGACTAAGCCACTTCTGGAGAACCAGAGCAGTGCACGAAAACGCCGTTTACCTTCCCGCTGGAGTGGTACCTATTTATCTACTTGCACTCTGACGTGCTTTCGGACTGCTAGGTGGGCAGGAGCAGGGACCGAGCAACGGGAGCTCACCCCATCGCGGGGATTTGAACCACCGACCTTCTGATCGGCAAGTCCATTCGAGCTGCCAGGCCAATTAGTGGGGTTTCTGCAAATACATTGCAAGCAACATTAACAGCTGCCATTACAATGAGGTTTCACTTTGCTTTGGACTGGAAGGCAAGTTCCTGGAAATTTAAAGCCATACCAGAAAAGTCTGTTTAGGTTCAAGCTGTCATGCCAGCATGTCTCCTTAACCACTCCATGTACCACTGTAATGTCACCATCATTGCTTAGAGCAGCTTAAATATTGAAGTTTACTCAAGAGGAAGCATTTCCAAGACTGGAAGATGGTTAGCTTTTTGCTAAGCCAGACAGCTGAAGAGCAGTTGGATTCTCTTGGATGGGAGCATAAACTCCTCAGTCTAGTTCTGTCTTACCCAGGGACCAGGCTGCCGTTACATTTTTCAATTACAGTTCACTTCTGTAAGCGATTCCTATGTAAAAGGCAGGGTTGTAATACCAGTCAATAGGTTCCTGCCACTGTGTGAAGGCCAGAATTTCTTGGGATTCTTGCCGTTTCATGTCTTGGTACACTTGGGCAGCATTCCTTTCAATTTTATTGTATTGCAGGAGTTTTAATTGTGCACTTGAATTTCCCATTTTTGGATGACATTAACCCCCCCCCCAAAAGGATACTCTTCTCTGGACAGGAACCCCGGTACTATTGCTAACATAATCGGTCCCATTAAGAGGAGGAATCTAAGCTTTCTTGGTTGCTGTTATATTCCAACACTATAAAAATATTCAAGCTAAAAGGGGGGTGGGGCGGAAACTATATCCTGGGTTTAACCCCAACAGCAATACTAACTTTTGCTAAGCTAAATATTCAAGATTACCTCATAAAAGCTGCCAGACACTGTTTACCTACTGGCTTGAAACTGAATAGGATATGTCTAGTTTCCTTAGCTGCTACAGTGGTACCTCGGGTTACATACGGTTCAGGTTACAGACGCTTCAGGTTACACTGTCCGCTAACCCAGAAATGGTACCTCAGGTTAAGAACTTTGCTTCAGGGTGAGAACAGAAATCGTGCTCCGGCAGCGCGGCAGCAGCGGGAGGCCCCATTAGCTAAAGTGGTGCTTCAGGTTAAGAACAGTTTCAGGTTAAGAACGGACCTCCAGAACGAATGAAGTTCTTAACCAGAGGTACCACTGTACTTAGTTTTTGCATTTGCAGCAACTTTCCTCTTGGAAGCTGCTATTAATGGCTTTATTCTGATCTTACAAGTATGGCATCTGCCCACCCACTCAACCAATCGACGATGGGTCTGTCAACAGAATAGTAATACCTTCACAGCAGAAGCTGCAGCACTCCTACTGGATGTTAAAGGCTGCTGGCCCAGGAATCTGATCCTAAGTTCTCCTCCTCCCCACACCCAAGAGGTAGTTCCCGTCAGATCTGGGATGCATCTTCCACCTACAGCCTCTTGCATATCCACCTTTGTTATCTCCTGGGATATCGGTTTCTATCCCTACCTTTTTTAAGGGTGTTCAAAAGGTTGTTAATAGGAGGCATGTATTTTGGTACAGGGATGCACATCTTGCTGTTAGGTACACATGAGGGGAGTTAAAACAATTATTTACATTAAAAATGGGGAAATTCGTTCTCCAATTAATTACTACCTCCATGTACTAGATTAGTTCTTATTTTAAAAGCAGTCTTTTCATGCATGCTCTTTCTGGAAGACTGAATTATTTAGTAGACACTTGCCACTTGTAAAATCCAACCAGAGTTCAGCTTGACAAGAGCATGGTAGCGCTCATCAGATCTAAGACTCAGTTATATCCCAAGTGTTAAAAATGGGATTATTATTAGAACTTCATTTTACACACTTTGGCCCATCAAGACTAGCTTGTTAGGGCCTTTCTAGGCCACCATGGGAAGCCTCAACCAACTTGATATTGCATTAGATTTGGACATTTCAGATGCAAACTTTCCCAAATAATCGGAGGCATTATAGGCAGATAAGCATCTTAAAGATGAAAATTTGGCTGCCGTGCCTAAAGCAACTGAATTCTGACCTACTTTGCAGCTAGCGGGCACACAGCAAGCTAGGTCTGGTTGGATTTTTCCCAAGCTACTGTGGAAGAGATATTTACTATGGTATTAGTTAGACCAAAGCTAGATTATTCTGCTTTTCAGCAAAAGCTACAGTTAAGACTCCCAAATAGCCTTAGATACGTTTTAGGGACACAAATTTAAAAAGCCAATGTAAAACCAGAGCAACGGTCACCTTATTAAACAGACCATCAACCTGCAAGAAAATTCAGAGGGGAATACTTAAAATCAATAAGCCAGAAAATCAATTTCAAGAAAAAGCAAAGATCACACAAACATGGGCAGGGAAGTTTGCAGGGAGAAACAGGAAAGGAGACCCACACAGAAAAGAAGCATACTCAGCATTTAAACCTATGGGAAGCCAATATCTTACCTAACACAAAAGTGGTAAGTTTATACACAGGAAAGCTTACTTAGCATTACAATACTTAATCCGCAATGCAGTTTCAGAGATGACCTATTAAAAGGGTTGTCTTGCACAAATCCAAAACCTACACTGTACTTGCTATACATCAATAGGCTTGCACACTAAATTAATGAAAGTATCAGTAACTACAATGGTTAAATCTGGGCTGATGTGGGGAAGGGCAAAGGGATAACCAGATTTTTGCTGCTGCTATTTTGATCTTGCTTTATTCTAGCGAAAAATGATTATTATTTTAATAAAAAAGGTATCCCTGCCCGTACGGGCCAGTCTTGACAGACTCTAGGGTTGTGCGCCCATCTCACTCAAGAGGCCGGGGGCCAGCGCTGTCCAGAGACACTTCCGGGTCACGTGGGCAGTGTGACATCGCTGCTCTGGCGAGCCAGAGCCGCACACGGAAACACTGTTTACCTTCCCGCTAGTAAGCGGTCCCTATATATCTACTTGCACCCGGGAGTGCTTTCAAACTGCTAGGTTGGCAAGCGCTGGGACCAAACAACGGAAGCGCACCCCGCCGCGGGGATTCGAACCGCCGACCTTTCGATCGGCAAGCCCTAGGTGCTGAGGCTTTTACCCACAGCGCTATCCGCGTCTCATTATTTTATTTTATTTTAATATCCAGGTGCTTATAAAAAGGATGAGTATGTAAGCAGTCCCTCTGGCCTGAAATACATGGCTATCAGTTACAGACCTCCAAGATCCAGGCAGCTTTCAGCATCCCACCCTGGGGCCTTTTTTACAGGCAGTCAAAAGAATAAAAGGGAAACAGCAGATCCATGCGGCTCACGGAGAGAAGCGTGTGAGCACATTAGTTTCCAAAACACTGTATTTCAAGTAGGGAAAAGCATCTAAAAGAAAGTGTTTCGGTCAAGTGAGCTAGTAAAAGTGAAGTAGTCCAAATGTTTAAAAGTGAAAAAGAACAGAGATCAACTTCTTCATGAAAAAAAACACTTAAATCTTAAGGTTTAGCAGCAATGGGAGCAGCCAGGAGAAGTTTTGGCTAGTGTGTCTGGCCATCTGTAGTGGGAGACTAAAAATAAAATAATAAAAAAGAGTACCGTATTTTTTGCTCTATAAGACTCACTTTTTCCCTCCTAAAAAGTAAGGGGAAATGTGTGTGCGTTTTATGGAGCGAATGCAGGCTGCGCAGCTATCACAGAAGCCAGAACAACAAGAGGGATTGCTGCTTTCACTGTGCAGTGATCCCTCTTGCTGTTCTGGCTTCTGAGATTCAGAATATTTCTTTTCTTGTTTTCCTCCTCCAAAAACTAGGTGCATCTTGTGGTCTGGTGCGTCTCATAGAGCGAAAAATACAGTAAATCTACTAACTAGGTGTTGGCAAGTTCCAGAAAATGTATGCGAAGAGCTAGTCCTTTTTGTAGTTCCCTTCATTTTTTCAGGCTGGATCTCAGGATTCCTGCAAGTCTCCACCCCACCATTCGCAATATGGCATTTAAAGCAATTCAGTAACGGAAACGTTTTGCCAGCTCATTTAAAGGCAAAATTTGAAGCATGTCACCCAGGACTCGAGATCAAAGAAACAAGCTTTTTTAGAGAAGCCACACTTACTTTGGTCAGGTACTCCCTCATCACCTGGATAAAATAAGGCATCGCAAAGTCCATAATGTTGTGCCTCCATGCCAGCTCAAGGACCACGTCCGGATGCAACAAGTCGTAACATGTGAAGAGAGAAGCTGCGAAACACTCTTTCTTGTCTTCTTCCAGAAACCACTGAAGCAGTTTCTCTGCCAGCTCAGCATCTTTGGATTCTGCGGCATACTGCATAGCATCCTACAGAACACCATGAAACTTATTTAGAGCCATGAAGTAACTACGTCAGACTTCTCATGCATGAAGAGTTTGGATTTGATATCCCGCTTTATCACTACCCTAAGGAGTCTCAAAGCAGCTAACATTCTCCTTTCCCTTCCTCCCTCACAACAAACACTCTGTGAGGTGAGTGGGGCTGAGAGACCTCAGAGAAGTGTGACTGGCCCAAGGTCACCCAGCAGCTGCAGGTGGAGGAGCGGAGTCGCGAACCCGGTTCCCCAGATTACAAGTCTACCGCTCTTAACGAGTACACCACATTGGCTCTCTCTAGCATGATGCTAGAGCAGGATGCATAGGCGCAAAAACAGGTGTAGGACTGCTTCATCTTCTGCAGGCTTTTACAATAAAAAAAATTGTTTAAAATTCCATCCCACGTGCTCCCAGTACATGTTAGTTTCTGCTTTCCTTCACTGTGCAGCGAAAGGGCTTGTCACGAGACAGGTGTTTACATTCCACAGTCTGTACTGTTGGAGTTTCTCACGGGAAAGGGAGGCTGGATGTGACGTACACTGGTTTCCTGTTTTTCACTGTGTGATTCTCTCCAAGCTGTCGAGGAGAGAGGATGCTTTTCCTGCTCCGGCAGAGGCAAGATGTCTTTCTGTAATATACCAGCTTTGAACTGTAAATAAAGCAATATAGAGTATGTAGTACGTACTCCTCATCCTTCCGCTGGGCACGGGACTCTGCTTTACACCAACACGTGGTTATGGGCTCCAGAAGTCGAATCGGAGTGCCGGCAAAGGATCGGAATGCAGAGGGACAGATCGGATCGGTATCTGCTCTGCGCGTAAACATGATTGATGAGGTATGTGCTACTGCTCCGGGCAGCCTGCCAGCTTCTAGTTAATTGCTTTATGGCTGGACTTTGAACTTTCAAAGCCGTTTTTGCCGGGAATACGCAAAAGGCTCCCAGGCTACGTTACTATGCTGGGGAAATCGAAAGTAACTTTTAAGTGCTTTTGGAATAAAGCAGCTGCAGCAGTGACGCAGCAAGATTTAAAGCAGCATATATGACGCTGAAGGCTAATGCCAGAGTCATGATGGCCCTTCAGGATGCTTGTGGGATTCCTAAGCTCAACAAGAAAAACTATGCGGACTGGGTTCTGTATGCAGAGGCAATTCTGCGGAAAGAGGGTTTGTTTGCAGTGATTACAGACACCCCCCCAGCTCCAGTTACAGATGAATGGAGAGCTAAAGATTCCAAAGCGAGGGGAACACTTACATTGATAGTATCCCCAGAAGAGCTCTGTCTGTTGCGTGATAAGACCTCAGCCAGAGAAATTTGGGACTCTTTGAGAGAGGCTCACTTAAGGACAGAAGCTGGATCTACTATGTTTTACTTTAACAAGCTGCATAATATGGCTCTTGCTGAAGGCGGAGATGTGCGTTTACATCTGATGGAGATGCAAAATCTGAGACATGAGCTGCAACAGAGAGGACTCAACTTTCCAGAGGCTGTGTATTCTTTCATGATACTACAATCTTTGGGTTCAGGTTGGGAGTCTGTTGCAACCCAGATTGCTGTGCAGCCAACAGCTCAGCTGACAGTGGACTTTGTAACTGCCGTGGTTTTAAATGAAGCGGATCGCCGGGGTGCTAGCTGCATGGGCAAGGGGGAGTCTTCACAGACGTCATCCCATAGTGCAGTGGAACCACCAGATGGCGCCAAAGCTTTGAAGGCAGTGAAATGCTACTCGTGTGGACGTCTAGGCCATATGAAGAGGGAATGCAGATATCCCAGGGCCAAGACAGAGCAGCGCAGCGAAAGCTCATTGCGTGGAAAAGGCCGAGGCAAAAGCAAAGGTCCGGTGTCTAGGACAACGCAGCACAAAGCTATGGTTTCACGCTTCACTCCAAAGGTTGCAGAGGTCCAGAAGGCGTCTAGATCTTTCTTCGTTGTTGATTCAGCGGCAACTCACCACATGTGCAACGATAAGAGACTGTTTGTGTCTTTTACACCGCAGGAAGGTGCGATTCACCAGGCGGATGACCACACGATTCCCAGTAAAGGCTACGGAACTGTTGTTCTTCACAGTTTGGACTTATCGATACAGAATGTGCTTTATGTGCCAGACGCCAAACATAATTTGCTCAGCGTTGGACAGCTGAATGAGCGGAACATTGACGTTTCCTTTAAGAACAAGAAGTGCATCATCACAAAGAAAATGATTATGTATTGCATGCTGAATATGTTGATCGCTTGTTTGTTTTGTATTATGATGATGTTGTGCAGGATGACACTTGTTGCATTGCAGGTTCTAACAAAAGTTTGCATGCAGGATGTATTCATGATTTTCATCGAAAATTTGGTCATTTGCATTTTGAGGCAGTATCTAAAATGCCTGCCTTGGTTGAAGGTATGACTATTAAACCCTGCAGGTACCACATGAAGTGCAAAGCATGCGCAGCAAACAAGGTGAAAATGGCTGCGAAAGGTAAGGTGTCTAGTAGGCAAGCTACGGAACCATACCAGGTTGTTCATGCTGATTTGGTTGGACCACTATCGCCCTCTTTGGGTGGAAATAGGTACTTCATGGTTCTCATTGACGCATTTTCTAGATATATTTTTGTGTACAATCTCAAGCAGAAATCAGAGGCTTTTCCTAGGTTCAAGGAATTCTGTGCTTGGTTGGAAAATGTGCATGGTAAGAAGATAAAGACTCTTTTCACTGATCGCGGGGGAGAATTCACTTCTCAGCAGTTTGAAGCTTTTCTGACTGAGAAAGGAATTCAACACGATTTGTCTAGTCCTCGCTCGCCATGGCAGAATGGACTTGCGGAACGGGCAAATCAGACATTGCTTCAAGGGTTAAAAACCTTGCTGCATGATGCCAATCTTCCAGAGAGTTATTGGGCCGAAGCTCTCTCATGTTTTATTTACAGTTATAATCGCAGGTTATCTTCAGCGATTGATTGTACCCCCTATGAGAAGATGTTTGGCAAGAAGCCTTACATCAAACACATGAGAATTTTTGGTTCTGACATGTGGATTCACACACCACAAAACTCCAAGTTAGACAAGCGTGGTTTGCATGGTATCTTTCTAGGTTATCAGAAAGGTTCTTACAGAATAATGATGACTGACTCTAAGACAATTAAGCTCACGAGAAGTGTTGAGTACAATGCAAAGTGGGGGGAGAATGTGGGAATTTTCCAATGTTATCCTGATGATGGTGATGAGACTGAGGATAGTCAAAAGCAACCACAACAACCCACACCCACTGATGAAGGTTCTGAGTCTGAATCTGAAACTGAATCGGGTGATTCAGAGGATTTCAAGAGTGCGAAAGCCTCTATGCGACCCTCTGAAAGCTCTGATCGAGAAGAATTGGAGGAACCATTGTTCACAATAGGTCGTTTTTCTCCTAAGAAGGAAGAGGAGAGTGTTGAAGACTTAAGGCTAATTCGTAGGTCACAGAGAGCCACAAAAGGCAAACCTCCAAAGAGATTTGCTGATGAGTTTGCTACAATAGCAGTAACAGCTGTTAAAAGCTCCAAGAAGGTATTTGAACCTTCAAGTTTCCAAGAAATCCAGGGTTTGGATTCGAAGGAAGCTGAGCCATGGTTAAATGCCATGAAGGCTGAGCTTGATTCCTTGGAAAGGAACAATACATGGGAGCTAGTTCCAGTAGTTCCAGGAATGAAACTGCTTGGAAGCAAATGGGTCTTCAAAGCGAAGACAGATCAAAATGGCAAGATAGTCAGACACAAAGCCAGATTGGTAGCCAGAGGTTTTGCACAGGTACCAGGTGAAGACTATCACGAGACCTACTCACCCACAGTGAGGTATGAAAGCATTAGGCTTATGCTCAAGCTAGCTGCAGAGGAAAATCTACACATTAGTCACCATGATATTAATACAGCTTTTCTGTACGGATCTCTGGATGAATCACTTTATATGCTTCCACCTGATGGCGTACAGGTAAAACAGGGATTTGTTTGTGCTCTGAAGAAATCTCTTTATGGTCTCAAACAAAGTGCACGGTGTTGGCACACAAAACTCACTGAAGTATTGTTTTCTCTAGGTTTTCAGCAAGGGAAAGCTGATCCATGTGTATTTGTCAAAGAGGAGGGGCAAAAGAAATTGTACTGTTTGTTTTATGTTGATGATTTATTATTCTTTTGGAAAGATGTCGCAATGTACAATAACGCCCTAGCTCAACTGAAAGAGCACTTTGACATGAAAGATCTTGGTGAGGTAAACAACTACCTATCTCTGGAAATAGAGAGAGATCAAGATGGTAACATTTTAGTACACCAATCACGGAAAATTGCTGATGTGTTAAGCAAACTAAACCTGATGGATGCTAACCCTGTAGACACACCAATGACAACAGGTTATCAGGTAGATGACACTGAAGAAGCATTTTCTGACACAACACTGTACAGAAGTGTGCTAGGCAAGCTAAACTTCATTGCCAGATGTTCAAGACCTGACATTGCTGTTAGCTGTAATTTGCTAAGCAGACAAGTCAACAATCCTAGTGTCAAGGATTGGAAAGCTCTGAAACGCATAGCGCGGTATTTAAAAGGCACTATGCATTACAGACTGAGATTTAACAATCAGAAGTCTGGTGGTCTTGAAATATTTGCAGATGCAAGTTTTGGAAGTGACACTGCAGACAGGAAAAGTACGTCTGGAGTTTGCTACATGTACAATCAGGGTCTGTTTGATTGGTCATGCAAGAAGCAAACAACAGTTAGCTTAAGTACTTGTGAAGCTGAACTAAATGCACTGTCTTATTCACTTAAAGATTGTGAATGGTTAGTACAATTGTGCAAAGATATGAAAATTCCTGTTAAATGTCCAATCCAGGTTTACCAGGACAACAAAGCATGTTTGGCTTTGCTGAAGTCTGAAGGTTGTAAGCAAAGCACAAAGCACTTGCAATTAAAGTTGCAACATGCTAAGGAATGTATTCAGAAGGGACTCGTAACGGTGTCCTATATGCCAGGTAATGAAATTCCTGCTGATGTATTGTCCAAGATTGTATCAAGGGATCAACACTGTACCTATGTGCAGAAGTTGGGTTTGTACTGATAATGTACGAACACGCTGCCCAGTGATGTTCACAGAAAGGGGGAGGATGTTAGTTTCTGCTTTCCTTCACTGTGCAGCGAAAGGGCTTGTCACGAGACAGGTGTTTACATTCCACAGTCTGTACTGTTGGAGTTTCTCACGGGAAAGGGAGGCTGGATGTGACGTACACTGGTTTCCTGTTTTTCACTGTGTGATTCTCTCCAAGCTGTCGAGGAGAGAGGATGCTTTTCCTGCTCCGGCAGAGGCAAGATGTCTTTCTGTAATATACCAGCTTTGAACTGTAAATAAAGCAATATAGAGTATGTAGTACGTACTCCTCATCCTTCCGCTGGGCACGGGACTCTGCTTTACACCAACAGTACATACAAGGAGGAACTAACAACGCTAAACAAAAACAGACCTTATATAAGCGATCTTTCTTGCAGAGCTCCACACTCTGCTTCCATCTGTTATTGCCTTTGTACAGGTAAGCGGCAATGCGTCTGAATTCAATCAACTCATGTTTCTCTAGACGCTGAGCCAGTGTAATGTTATCGAAGTTGTCGTAGGCATCAATGGATGCTCGCAAGCCCTATTATTGGAAGGGGGAGAAAGTTAATAGTCAGGCACACGGAGGAGTGAATTAAATTGCTACAAGCGATGCTAAGCCTACAGGGCTGTATCACGGAGGTGACTGGAAGATTCCCTCGAAGCTTCTGAACACAGCAAAACACAAAGGATATTCTCCCATGGGCTTTAAGTAGCGGGCTACAGATTTACATCAGAAACTACTCTGCACGCACTTAAAACCACTGACCTCAGATCTGTTTAAGGCAGTGATGGGGAACATTTTTCAGCCAAAGGGCCTTCTGGGCAAATTGGGTGTGTGTGTGTGTTAATTTATTTATTTGCTTATTTATTTAATTTATATACTGCCCTTCATTCTGAAGATCTCAGGGCAGTTCACGAGATAAAAAATACAGGGTAAAAGCACAAAATAGTTACAACAAAAATTAATAATAACCCCCCCCTCCCACAAACACATTTAAAAGGCCACTGAATATTAATTAATCAACCAAAGGCCTGGCTGAAGAGGAATGTATGGAGCTGATACAAAGGTTAAGCATTTTAAAATAATGAATTATGCGGTCATTTTGCATACATACCATAATTATGCTTCTATAGAAAAATGCCATAATCGCTGTTCCCAGAAACTCACCTGGTAGTCCTCCTCCTCTGTCAGAAGATTGTTCAGCGCTTCATTGACTCCTTTATTATTATGATTCTGGACTGAGCGCAGGTAAGGTTTCACTAGAGGCAGCTGATTAACCTAGGGGCAATGCAATTGTTTAGGCAAAGAGTTGTTCTTGCTGAAGGGCCTCCCACAAAGTACATCTCTAAGGTAACAGGCCCACCTAATTTAAGTAACATTAAACCCTAGAAACTAGTCATCTCCCAAAACAAATCCTTATTGGAACAAATGGTATATCCACAATTTAAGACCTTAAGTCATTTTATTACAAATTTATGTGTGCAACAAGAGGATTTGGAAACAGGGGAAAAAGTTAGTCTAAGGAAACCCAGCCAGATGGGTGGGGTTTAAATAATTAAAATTATATTATTTATTATTTATTATGTCTTGGCATGATAAAAGATGAAACCCCTTTTGCCTTGAATGGCTAAGCAGCGGCTGAAATGGTAACATTTCCTCAGCTTTGACCCAAAACATGCTGAGTTTCACACCCGCGTTTCAGTATTCATGACTCTGTTGGTTGTCTTGAAAACCCAGCGGGTGGCCAAGGACTATAAGACATGGCCAAATCTTCCTGTGGCAGAAACACCCATACATCATTCAGACTTCTTTATAATACATCCTGATTTTCTAATGTTGCTTCTCTGAGAAACAGGAGCTTATGCACCTCATCCAATCCATTATTCCAGACACAGTTTTAGCACCAAAACAGCTTCCTCAGATTTAGATGGAAAGAAGAGGAGAGAGTTGGGTATCATCTGCATACTGGTGCACTGAACCTCAAAGCACCAGGCAAGCTCTCCCAGCGAGTTTCATGTGGTTTTGACAACTATTAACTCTTTAGTTAATAGAGGAGACCAGTGTGTGTTAGTGGTTAAGAGCGGTAGACTCGTAATCTGGTGAACTGGGTTCGCGGTCTCCGCTTCCTCCCCACATGCAGCTGCTGGGTGACCTTGGGCTAGCCACACTTCTCTGAAGTCTCTCAGCCCACTCACCTCACAGTGTGTTTTTTTGGGGAGGAAGGGAAAGGAGAATGCTTTGAGACTCTCTTCTCGGTAAGTGATAAAGCGGATATCAAATCAAACTCTTCACTTTTATCCAGCCAACAGGGCATCGGACATACATCACTTCTTAGTACACTTAAGTTAGCAACTGTGATTCCATTTCTGAGGATGGCAGCATGATAAAGCTTGCAGATTGATTTATTTATTTGCTCTAACTTTTATACTGCTTGGCAGAGCTGTTAAAGACTCTTGAGCACCAAATAAGAGGTCATAGTTAACTAAATGCTGTTTGTTAAATCACTTTCAGGGGCAGCCAATTATCACAGCTTGAATTTGTTCTCTAGGTGGCCAATGTGGAGCTGTATTACAAAGCGCTGCAGTTTTACTTGGATTATAAACCACTGCTGATCAATGATCTCCTCCTGGTATTATCTCCAAGGCTGGATCACACCAGGACGGTCAGCTTCTTCTCCAAGGTGAGTTAGAGGAGGCACAAATTAAAAATGGGCTAAATTACATACTTCTCTTTAAGACCTTTCCATTTCAAATTGTACAT